CATTTATTATTGATACTGGGAGCATAGAGTTAGTTATTTATAGGGGAAATCTGTTATTGCTTTATAACGATGTCCGTTTAAAACGTACAAGTATTCCAACTACCAGCATCACTGGTTATCAGCTACCCATTATTGGTATAGTTAATATTCAAATAAGGAAAAAATAGGCCAGTCTTATCAATATTCATTACCTAGTTAGTGAGTATAGTCCATCTGTACTTGGGTCAAAGGGCATAAATTTGCTGGATGCACGTATTTCTTAATGTGCTAATGTTTCTAACAGTACTTTTATCAAAGATCTAATCCTGTAATGTTTGAAGAGCGCATGAGGTACGAAAATTCACCCAGCATACTTCGAAGTAAAGAGAAAGCTGGTCATCACGAAGCGTAGACTAACTCCATATGGTTTAAGAGAGGTTGTGAAAAATGGGCTATATAATCGAAGGGCCAGGTCTTTCTCTAGCAGAAGAAACAATAACTGGGCAGCCAAGTCATCGATAATCATCCAGGATCACACGGTGTGTGTGACGTGACTGTGATCGCCACCATAATGCAGATGACTAGTTGGTGCAGATACACTCTACCAAGCCGGATGTGATTGAATCATAGAAACTTAGTTGACACAGTCTGTAGACAGTACGAAACTTTATTTTAGAATTTTCACGTTTGTAAGAGCCGATAGCGTCCAGAAGGCGTAGTCCTATTCATTCGAAATAGTATCCAATTTGCGGCTGTTGATAAAATATCCTATTAAAGTAAGACGTGTAAACCAGTTAGTTGCCGCTTGAAATGCAAAGGACAAGAGCTACTGATGTGGTAATGTGGTTATCACATGTGCCGTGGTGTAACATGTAAAAGAAGCAACTAAGTACAACCCGGACTCAGAATCATTTTCACTAGATCTCATATTGACCTAAAATAGGTAAGAGACATAAACCTGAGGATTATTGACCCGTGAGCCTAACCAGAGTGGTTGTTAAAATTTTAGAAAATATTATTTAGAAGTTGTTTAAATATCCCGACAAAAACCGGATTCTTTCCAAAAAGTAACATGGCTTTAGAACAAGATATTCCTGTCTCACTAACTTATTAGTATCCCTTGAAAGTTGGCGCGCTCATGAATACCAAAACTTGCCTATAGCTGTAACTTACGTTGACTCCATAAAGGCTTTTGACGAAGTTTCTCACAGCCGGTTGCTATATTAGTTAAGTAATGTCGGGATCTAGGCCAATTTATTGATGTGAATAAAGAACTGTCTAGTTGGACGTCAATAAAGAGTACGGGTGAACTCAAAGTTGTCCAGTTGGGGAACTGTGCATGGCGAAGTAGTACAGTGTATATCTTTTAAGCTGGTGTTGCTCCTCGTCTCCCATCATCATCAGTTTTGTTACATGCTGACGTTATGAAGACATGGAGAGTAATAAAAAGTAAAAGTGAGAGCCAAGAGCTTCAATACGACCGGGATAAATTAGATGAATAATCTAAAGTTTGCAGTCGCCGATATAAGCCCTCAAGTGCATTGTGATGCATATTATTATTATTATTATTATTATTATTATTATTATTATTATTATTATTATTATTATTCACAAACATCTTATGGGTACATAAGTGTTGTGAAGATACCATTTCGGGTTTCTTCAAAAATGCAATAATACGCAATTTTCAATAATGTTAGCATTATACTTGCCATATTTAAAAAAAAAATTTAGAGTAATAATAATAGAATAATAATAATGATAAATCAGGTTCTGTGTAATTGAGAAGAATATTGAATTGAGTTTAAAGAAGGAAATGGAGAAAATAAGGGAATAGAAATAAATAAGACGTGAAATATACATACAGTTTAATAGGCGTGTTTATGAACACAGAACAAGAATAAACGACTATGTATATATCGTCAAATTAGTAACAAAAAATAATTAAGAAAAAATAACTTATTATCGCAGTAAGATATGACGTTAGAGTAAATGTTTGTGCAGTCATAGTTTGGAGTGATGCTATGAAAGTCTCAATTAAGTGAAAAGGATAACGAAATATCAATATGTATGAGTCATATATGCATAGTGAAGATAAAACGGGTCTGAGAATTTAATTTAAATGTAACACAAGTTATTGTCTTAATTACAAACTTGGGATTCTGTGGTGTCTGAATGAACTAGTGATACCACTGTACTTGTTGAATACTGAATTTCGAATTCTAAATACAATACATTCGTTTGTGCTCATCTAGTACTTCTTGATTCAGTTGCGTTATTTCGGGGATTCTTCGTTCATACTACAATTCAAATAATTTGAAACATTATAGATTCTTAAGAATAATATTTATTTAGATGGAAAAGAGAGAGAAAAGCAATGAACATTAAGCGAAAGGGTTAAACCATGATAATAATAATAATATTAATAATAATAATAATAATTGTGCAGTGAATATCGACCTCTGAAGTACACCATCAATTAAAAAAAACTTTTTAATGACGACTGATCAACCAAATGAGGCGGAAGTCCGCAAAGAACTCCAACTCTTGAAGCACTACAAGTCGCAAAACGTCTGGTGTGAGCGAAACAATCTGCGAGGATGACGAGATGCCAATCACCAACATTCATCGACGTCTTGGACGATGTGCAGAATTCTTCGAAGGGCAGTTCAACTGGCCTGCTGCTCCGGCAACATCGATCAGACTGTCCTGCCCTCCATGGCCGGTGACGAATGATCCACCGAATGAGGCGGAAGTTTGCAAGGAACTCCAACTCTTGAAGCACTACAAGTCACCGAAACTAGATGACTTACCTTCTGCTCCTTTTAAAGATGGTGGTGACTTTCTGGTCAAGGAAATGACCACGTTGTTTACAAAGGTCTGGGAGTTTTCCAACGTCATGGAATGAGTCGATAGTTGTCCCTATCTTTAAAACGGGTTCACGTTGTTCCTGTAATAACTATCGGGGGATAAGTCTACTTTCTATTGCGTCCAAGCTATTGGCTTCCGTCATACTTCGTAGGTTGTTCAAAACCCGAGAAAAATTGACTCACGAGGAGCGGGCTGGGCTTCGTTCTGGTCGAGGATGTATTGATTATATCTCCACCCTCCGCCAAATGTTGGAACACCGTCATACTTATCACAAGCCAACAATCGTAGTGTTTCTTGACATCAGGGCTGCCTTCGATTCGTTAGACAGGACTGTTCTCTGCGGTTGTCTATTGAAGAAGAGTGTGCCTTAGAAGTTCATTAACATCCTAAAGGCCCTATATACAAACACCTTAGGTAGAGTGAGGGCATACAACCACCTTCCTCCATTGTCCCATTCGAGCAGTGGGGTTAGGCAGGGTTGCCCAATCTGACCATTCCTCTTCAACTTTGCCATCGATGACATTCTGAAAACAGCTCTGACGGATGTAAGTAATGGTGGTGTGGATCTATTGCCTGGAGAAAGACTTCTCGACCTTGAGTATGCGGATGGTATTGTGTCACTGTGCGATAATGTCCAAGCCATGCAATCCACACTTAATCAGTTGACAATCAGTGCCAGTAAGTATGGTATGTTGTTTGCACCTTCGAAGTGCAAAGTACTTCTACAAGACTGGCAGGATTCTAATCCTGTACTCACCCTGTATGGTGAGCAGATATAAGTAGTCAAGAAGTTCGTGTATCTAGGTTGCTGCATAAGTGCTGATGGTGGTGTGAGTGATGAGATCAACGCACGTATAGTGAAAGACAGAGAGGCCTATGCCAATCTGGGCCGCCATTGGCGCCTTCGTGATGTCAGTCTGGCAGTAAAAGGTCGGATATACAACGCGTTGGTGAGAGCAGTTTTGCTCTATGCTTGTGAAACCTGGCCTCTCCGAGTTGAGGATGTCAGACGACTCTCTGTATTTGATCATCGTTGTCTCCGAAGGATTGCTGACATTCAGTGGCAACACCATGTTAGTAATGCAGAGGTTCGGCATCGTGTGTTCGAGCGCAGAGACGATAATCCAATTGGTGTCACCATCTTGAAACATCGACTTTGGTGACTTGGACATGTCCTACGAATGTCGTCCCACAGAATTCCACGTCGTGCATCATTTGCCGACAGTGGAACAGGTTGGAAAAAGCCGATAGGTTGTCAGTGTATGACATGGTGTCGTGGCATGAAAGAAAGCTGCAAAGGGTTGGCTTCTGTTGGTCCTTCACGACTCCCTGGCTGGGATCCGAGAGACGGTGCAACAAAGTGGCTAGATACGTTTTCAAATATGGCTCAGAATAGAAGCCAGTGGGAATCCTGCTGTAGCCTTATTTTACTTTCTTCATAGAAGATGGTTGTATCTTCCTTAACTGAAAGATTTCTTCTGGTTGTACCTTTCCGTTTCCCCCATTATTATTATCATTATTATTACACTACCTTACACTAATCTGGTCATTATTGTTCTTTACTTCTTTTACGCTCCTTACCTTCTTTTTTCCTCTTCTCATTGTTATATGTGGCGCATATGTATTTGGTGCCTCCTTGTGCCAATATTTATGTGTTGAAATAAACAAATAATAGTTAAATATGAGGAGTTTCTATTGCAGCAAGAGAAAAATGTAGACATTAACTCATTCAAACTTACATTTCGAGTTAAACAGTTATCATATTTAGGATTAACAGTAGCAAACAAAAGCTATATAAATGATCGTGGTCGCTTTCAAAGGATCTACAGACCTCCAACACCCATTAAACAACATCATGAAAAACTTTCTGAAGGTGACAGCGATTGGTAGTGGAGTTGATATACAGTGGGTACGTTGACAATAAAAAATGCAAGTACATTTAGTTGGTGAGTGTGAAGTTGGACAAAAAGTATATCTTGCATTCTACTATCAGTCCCATCGACAGAAAAATAAAAGACATCTTATTCAATATATATATATATATATATATATATATATATATATATATATATATATATATAATACCTTGAAAATACGATATGGAATCAACACAAACCCAAATAAAAACATGGAAGATATTTTAAGATGTCTTACCTATTTAAAAATATCCGGAATTTTTCAGCGGCTGTATTTTCAATTAAAGCCAGACCATGACCAGCATTACCATGAAAATGTACATTTATCCAAACTGGACGACGTTCGTCGTAAAATGCTAAATAATCCTCTGAACAACTTGGTATACCTTCATCTAAACAAAGCCCAATATTCATATCTTGAAATCTAATTTCTTCGGAATGATGATTATTACATTCATTATGATTCAATACAAATGGTTTCATTCCTTTCACACCACCTAACTCCTCGTCAGGTACAAAAGTCAAGTAAACTGTACGACGCAACTGGTTGCATCCACGTGATTTTAATCTTCGAATAGCCTCCAACTGTTGGATACCAATTGATTTCATATCCTTCAACAAAAGAATATGAATGGCATAACAGGTTAAATAACATCTCAGGACAGAGTATTCAATGATGTATTTCAAAATTTCACAAGTAATAAACTAACTTTTCAGTCTACATTACAAACTGACGTTGGTTAGACAACTATCGAAAACATCGATTCCACTCCAGTATAGGACTTCCAAGTGAACACTGACGACACTATCGGAAATCGGGCTGAAAACTTCCAGGTCTCACAGTGAGTCATTGAAGTTTAGAAAACTGAGTTGGGATCCGATGGTTTACATTACTGATTTTAATCAATTCGTGATATTACTCGGTCATTTTCCAATCCGATTGGTGGACAACTTCCTCACTCTTGGCCTGGTTGGACTCCTCTGGTTACGTCCTTACAACGTATATAGGAAAACTGTTTTTGTAAATCAGTTACTAGTAAGATGGGAAGTATCATACTAAGATGAAACAGTTTTCCAGTGCTCCTCAGTCTTTAATAGTTAGATAACTAAGGTCAGTTCGTGACGTACAGAAGAAAGTTCAAAAATCTCCACACACACACCCTACACCAATATTAAAATAACAAAAAGATACATAGAATCCGAAATTTTTCAGAAAGAGCGTCAAATGGGTGATATATGGATAGTTCATAGCAGTTTTAAAAACTTATTTTAGAAGAATTTATTTTGCAATGTGATATGTACAACTGAATTTTTAAAAATATGTTAACAAACTAAACTGTACATAATACTAATGTATCCTACTCCTAGCTTTACTCTACTAAGCCATGAATGTAGATATTTTGCTATGTTAGTTCATGATCCCCAGTTAAGAAAACAGTTAAGTCTTGAGTGTTAATTTTATTAATAACACTAAAAAAGATTAAAGTAGGATAACAACTATTACGCATAAATATAATTACAATGTCCTTAAGAGTACGGAAAAAATAACTTATCAAAAGATGGAAAAATAATAGGGAGAAAACATCCCTAATGACACCTGGGATGCGCGAATTTGGTGAGAAAATCGTAAGTTGGAGTTTGCAATAAGTAATGGGGGTGGTTTGCAACACAACATGGAAAATTGTTACCATAAATACTAGGTAAATTACACCCGTTCTGAAGTAGGTTCGGAATAATAATAAATATATTTTTGAGGTATCTCAACAAGTAGAATATTGTATCTGACATTTTGTGGCCACATGAGAGTCAATTCACAAAAATATATTTATTATTCGCCTTCTGCCCAATCCTCAATTTATTTGAAACTATCGAGGTAAGGAATAGTTTTCAAGGTGTAAAATATGAACTCATCTGATTAAAAACATAGTAACACAATTTTTATTATCAGAGGGGGTTTGTTGTGGATATTATAGTAATTTTAGTAGTTGAGATCATGAGCCAATTGAATCTAGACTACCATAGAAAACCTGGAGGCGCTGGACGGCCTTTTCGTCCTACTGTGGGAATCCTCAGCAGTGCGCATCCACGATCTCACCTCGCGAGATGGTGGATGTGTCGCTCAATTTCGCGGACTAGTTGGAGTTAGACATTACCACCGTTGGATGCCGGCTCAGTGGTCTAGAGGTTAAGCGCTCGCGCGCGAAACTGGTAGGTCCTGGATTCGAATTCCGCGAGGCGAGATCGTGGATGCGCATTGTTGAGGAGTCCCACAGTGGGACGAAACGGCCGTTCAGTGCTTTCAGGTTTTCCATGGTGGTCTAGCTTCAATTGACTCATGATCTCAACTATTAAAATTTTTATTGAATGAAACGTTCACTTTCAAAAGGGATGTTCTTAGTGTTTCCTTTCAGAATCTAGTTTACAGACTAGAAAAAATATCAATACGTATTTACACAGTTAAAAGATTCCACAAGATTGTTAGATGGGATTGTAGCCAAAATGAATAAGAAAGCTAAGGCAAACAAATTAAGTTGAGGTCCCAGTATATTAAGTCAATGACCATTGGTTTAGGCTGTGTGTGTATGTGAAAACTACCTGGATAGAGTCTGAGCAATAATCGTGACTGATAACCGGCAGCCTTAGGTGTCATGGCTCAAGATAGGACGCAGGAGTGCAGAATGTATTCAGTATTTAAGAACAATGAATACCTGAAGAAATAATTGTTTCCACTAACTCGATCACCAGACTTTACAGTTCTAAATCCATAATTATTGCACCACAATAGACAAAATAAGCCATGCATATATAGGTAAATTGGACAATCTTATGCGTCAATACAATAAATTTTCGCACCAGTTTCAGCTTAAATACGACTGAAGTGTGCCATTAGTCAATCTATAATCCCACAGAATTTAGGTTCCAAATACTACCCCGACTGCCTTGCTGTTGATTTAGTGCATTTTCCCGCAAGGTGCTGATATGGTATGGGAATTGGGGTTAGTGTACAATTTTGCAAGGTCCTAAGTTGATGATGACTAGTTTGACACGCGGTCACTCGGGATTTACGGAAAATTCGCCGATTGTTTCACGAACAAATGTTAAAGTAGCAGCTTTTTCTGTTAAAAGCGAAGACTTGTATTAACGTGTAGACGACCACCTAGATAACTCAAATTCCATAAGATGTATACGATTACACGAATGGTCAGACCAAGCCTGCACAGAAAACTAGTTACTAACATGCAACAACAAAAATTACAGTAAAATACTTCTTATAATTACAATCATATCGATCTACTAGTTCAACTATAATAAGTTTATCATAATAACTATTTACATTTGAGTAAAAAGTGAATATTTATGCTGCTCTAACGAACAGTATAATCATGAGATTAAATTACCTGAGTACCTCGACCGTATATTTTACCATCAGGTGTAATTGTACCACTGAATGGAGGATATGACCATTTTTCTTCGACTACTGGTACTACGTCCATATGTGAATTTAACATGATTGCTGGTAATTCCGGTTGATATCCATCCCAACGCATGATGACGATAGGATTATCTGGAACGATTTCAACGACATTGCACATGAGCTGTAATTCTTGACCCAATTTAACAAGCCACTCAACAGCCGGTGAAACCCATTGGATCCAAGCTGATCAGGATAGGCTAGATACGGTAGAGATGCTGCTGTACCCTGGGCACGATGAGGAAGGTGCTACTCACAGTGAGCGATTTGCTATAATGCTGTCTGAAGAAGCATGAAAAGCACTTTTAGGATGGGAGTCTCATGGATGTAGAACCGTCAAAACATTCTACAAAACAAAGAGGGAAAGGATCACAATGAATGTTATCCAGTGTTATGCGTTCACCAAGTGGGGTTGCAGTTGTCATGGGACGACATGGAATCAGAGGAGGGAACAAGAATGGTGAGGGACTTATAGATTAGTGTGTTTTCAACAACATGGCCACAGGTGACATAATTTCCCACCACAAACGCATACACAAAGCTATATGGGTTTCACCGGACCAAACTACAGAGAACAGGACCGACCATGTTTGCATCAATAAAAAATTCAGAGGATCCATGGAAAACGTGAGAACCAAGAAAAGAGCTGACATAGCTTCAGATCACCACCTAGCTGTGGCAACGATGAAACTGAAATCGAAGAAACACTGGACAACTGGAGAAACAGAATTGTGAAAGTTTAATACAGTCATCCTTCCAGATACCAACAAACTCGGAGGACTCAAGGTACCTCATCAAGAAAACAAAAGAAGGAGATCTAAGCAAATGTGAGGACTACAGAGGAATCACACAATTATCGGTACCAGGAGTAGTTTTCAGCAGAATGTTGCCGAACTGAATGAACGTCCAACTTCCAGATCAACAGACCGGAATCTGTAAGGGTCGGTTGTGCATAGACCAAATCGTGACACTACAGATCATCGTTGTGCAATCGGTTGAATGGAACTCGCCATTATACATCAACTTCCTCGACTATGAAAAGACGTTTTACGGCGTGAACAGGAGAACCTTATGGAACCCTCTTCTCACTATGGTGTACCTGAGAAGATCGTCAACATCCTCGGAAACTCATACGATAGACTACACTGCATAGTGGTGCATGGAGGACAGCTGACAGATGCATCGCAAGTGAAGATAGGAATTGGAAAAGGCTGCTTACTCTCTCGATTTCTTTTCCTCACAGTGGTCAACTGGATCGTGAGGACCTCCACATCTCAGAAGAAGCACGGGATGCAATCCACAGGTTGGATACAACTAGATGATTGGGACTTCGCAGATAACCTAGCCATTCTATTACATACACATCAACAAATGTAGGTGACGAACACTAGTGTAGCAGCAGTCTATGAATTAGTAGGCTTCAACATATACAAGGGAAAAAGCAAGATCCTCGAATACAATACAGAGAATACCAACCCATTCACACTTGACGGAGCTCTGGAATAGGTGTAAACTTTCACGTGTCTGATAAACATCATTGATGAACAAGGAGGATCCGATGCAGAAGTAACAGCACGGATCGACAAAGCAAGGATCACATCCTTTCAGTTGAAAACAACTGTCAACCAACATCAAAGTCAGAATCTTCAATAGAAACATCAAGAAAGTTCTACCGTGTGGAGCCGAAACTTAAAGAACTACCAAAACCATCACCAAAAAGGTACAGGTATTTATAAACAATTGTCTACGCAAGATAATCCAGGTCCACTGACCGGATACCATTAACAGCCTACTGTGGGAGAGAGAGAACAAATTGGCTTCCAGCTGAATAGGGAGTTGAGGAAAGATGTTGGATGTGGGTAGGATATGTATCTCGAAAATTATCAAACTGCATCACGAGGCAGGCGCTTACTTGGAACTCTGAAGGGAAACGAAAGAGAGGAAGACTAAGGAACACATTGTATCAAGAATTGAAAGCACATATCGAAAAGTGTGTAGTGATTGGAAACAACTGTGAAGGATTGTTCAGTATATAGTTCGATGGAGAACGCTGGTGAGTAGCTTATGCTCCTCCATTTTGGGTAACAGGTGTAAGTAGCTTAATTAAGGCCCTTAGCATAAATGTAAGATTCTATCTGAAATTTCTCTTGGATGTGCATGGAAATTCCTCTACATACACGTTTTTTAATGTAATTTGTTGCCTTGGTTCTAAATGTGGAGCTATTCTTCTTGATCTCTTCATCTGTATGTTCCGTTGATCTTTTGATTCAAAGTGAGATGGTTATCATTCATGCTATTTGTTTTTGTGTTACTACAGAATCTCTTTGATTCGCACGAACGAAGGTCTGATACTAATGAATAAGTAGAATGTTAGAAGACAGATTGTTTTTTACCAGAATGTCGATTGGTCATTAGTTGACGAGTTCTACTCCGTATTTCCTGTCATCAAGTTTTTCAAAAACGCAAGTAGATGACAATGAGACTCTCGGGAACAGAGAAGATACCCTCAAATTCACAAACGCTTAGCCTGGATAAGAAAAATGCTAACAGCGATCCTCGAAACTTTTCTTTGTCTAGGTTGCATCAAGCTTTGAAAGCACGTATCGAAAAATATTTTGTGATTGTAAACAACTGTGAAGGATTGCTCAGTATATAGTTCGATGGAGAACACTGGTGAGTAGCCTACGCTTCTTTATGTGTAATACCAGGTGTATGGAAATGATATTTTCTTATAATGACTTTATTTTGTCACTTTTTCTCCACTTCATCTCTTATATTCAAGCTTCTGTAACATGTCGACTGTGTGCATTTCAACACTTTTGACACTGCGTTGGCTGCTTCTGTCTCTCATCTTTTCATTAGGTTAAATATCAACTGTGTAAATAAAACAGTTGTTTATATTTAGGCGCGACTCATAAACCACTTTGTAAACTTGATTTTCTGCTTTAGCAGCAATGATTATTCAATAAACTTTCTTAATTTTAATTTTCATCTTATTCCTACTTTCATGGGAATGAATAGCAATGATGTTTATGTGTAACTGTTTGTAATAATTAAGAATGATTAAGAAACCCTACATCCACGTACAGTCTTGCAGATTAGGCACCCACATATCATATTCACCTTCGTCGGATTACGTTTATCATTAAAATCGTAACAGTAGCTAAGTAGATTTTAATTTCATGTGATTAGTTCCGCTTATGAATCAAAATGAAACCAGGAGAAATGTTGATTAACAGTGGTATGCATTCATTATAACTAAATATGCATTAGGATTTAACAGTGATGTGGGAAACAGTTGACATACCTGAATATGAATAATTGAAATGACGTAGGTTATCAATAATGACTATATATATATATTTTGTTTATATATATTTGTTTTTACAGTCAATAACATTAAGAATGGGTGGTGTAAAGTGGACTGGAGTTCACAGACAGATAAGTGGTGTGAAAATCTTATAGCTTGTAAATGATCCGTGGATTTAAGAACTGAAAACTTGGGTTACGTAATAATTGATTACAATTTGCAGAGGTCACATAATTACAGAGGATTAAGTAAGCAGATATAAGTGACAGGGTGCTGGGATAAATCGGTAACTAAATTTTAAAAAGTGAAATGAATTATTACATAATCCATCTTATTACTTGTTCATTCCATGGATTATAAGGAGTTCCTATTATTCTCTATCTATATTTGTTCTAGCGTCATATCGACTATTAATAAATACGAACACGGTTTATAAAGTAAGACTCTGAGTGTAGTTGCTATATTTATATTTCACTAATTCACTAGTTGAATAAAAATGTCACTAGGCAATACGGAACACAGTTAACGTGAACTTGTAAACCGGTTTTTAACATGGTCTTCTATAATCACAAATTCTATAAGTTGTAGACCGGCGTAAACATCATCACAAAGCTTTGACGACTTTATTGGATTCATACGATTCTGAAAAACAAACAAATCAGTCGTGAAATAAAGAATTAGACTTAGTTATCAGTATCACATTCAATAAGTCCATCAAATAGCAGGTTACAGAATGTACCTATAAGTCTCTTATTTGCAGACAGCGCTAATCATTAGCGATTTCTATTTCCCTTAATAAAAATTAATAGGTAATCTTTACAACACACAAATCAGTGTTATTTAAAAATTGCTGAAATTAGTTTCGTCACAACGTAGAAGCGTGGTCTGACTTATAAAAAAAATGTAATTAATTAATGTGGCATAAAGGAGATATGAATACAAGGAACTTGTGATTCTGCTTCCATTGCTCATTCACTTTTCGTCACGTTGTCTGCATGAGTTACTTCGGACGAGTCAGTCTGTAATGCAGTAGGAATTCATGAATTAACTCATTAATAGTTGTTTTTTATTCAAGTCTGTGTCGTAACAAGCACTGGGAATTAATTCAGTGTCTAACCCTTGTAGTATTTCGTCTATACATCTGGTATTAGCAAGATAAATTGGTAAGTAGCATTTACATATTACTCGACAATATGCATCATAACTTTGTTCACATTTGGGTCTGCGATTGTGCATTTCGTTTACAGAAAATTATTCGTCAACGCTATAACAGACACATCATAAATCGGTATTAAGTACGACATGGTTTTGTCACCATGCTCAGAAGAGACACCCATCGTTTTACTTATGAAGATTTTGTGCCTATTTAATGTGGTGTTATACACTGTTCCTGTATACGTTCAGAAAGCCGGTAAAAAAGACTATCAACGTCAATTGTTACTCACATAATTTTTTACTGATATGTTACACAATAATATGTCACTTCAGTACAAAACAATGCCACCTATAGTCCAAATAACCTTTTATGGCTAAATACAAACAATTTATATAATATTCACAGTTAGTTTAACGCTTACTTCTTTCTGATTACATTTTATAAACGACTACGAACATCTATGTTTGCCGTCACCATAATCAAGGATGTGAACCATATATCATGGTTTTTACGGCTTATTTTCATGAAAACTCAATCCGTAATATATTTTTGACTAGAAAAATGGTGATTTGACTTGTCTGACTTTGTATTGTTAAGAATAACCACATTACGACAATTACATATTTACTTAGGTGGTAAGCACGAAATACGTCAA